AATATATAATTCAAATTTAACCTCTTTCATTGGAGAGATTATTACGTGGGGAGTCTAGATGCAGACGTGGGGAGTCTTGATGCAGCTTTTTATCTAGACTCCAAACACTTGAAGTCACAGACTCCAAACACTTGAAGTCACGTGAATTTTTTCTCTTTTGTACACACCCTATGTACAAAAAAAAATCTTTGTAACTTCAGGTAATTGACCGTTTTTTTTTTGAGGGCATATCCCATTCTATAAAATAAAAAATGAGAATTCAAAAGTAAGTAAAAAAAAAAACCATCCTAAAAAACATGAGGCTAGTAAAAAAATGACAAAGAGATCTAACCAACAAAATAATAAGAAAAGCAAGAAAACAAAACAGATAAAAAAAAAACTATCTGGCCTGGACTCAGAAAAATGCAAAAGATATCATTTAAATTGGAGCAAAAAAAACTCTCTTGGTTTCCTGAAGACCGTATGAAGGGAAAAAGGCAAGTTTCATAATTGTCCAACGCCCAAAAAAGAGTCTGCCTGAAGTAAAGAAGACAACGGGTGGATAAAAATAGAGGGGCACATAACACAGCAATCCAGATTTAACTCAGCAAGAACTAACATATCATCCATCAATAAGAAGAAATAATATCCTTCGTAGATTCAGTGAATGTAACTACCGCCAAACCGAAGCATTTATTAGAAAGTAGGTAATTGAGCATAGCAGACCAAACAATAAAAACTCCCTAGAACTTCATGTTAAAACCGATCTTACAGTCAGCCAAATATAATGACCAAAAGAAAAGAAAAACCCCTCCAAAAATAGAGAAGCTCATATATACTTCAAATTCAGTATCTCCTTTAAGATCTCACCTTTTTTCCATCTAGTGATTTTAAGATAAATCTCTCTGTAGATCTTATTCACAAGTATAACAACGCAGACATCTTTGGAGTTAAAACACATATTAGTGTGTTCTAACCAAAGGAAGTAAACAGTGGCATTTAGGATGAGAAGCATACCATTTGTTAACGTTATCAGGCATAGTTTGCCGATCAATATGATCAATGGCTTGGAGAATAGTTGGCTTTAGGAAGAAATTTTGGAAGTTAGGAATTAATTTTGTCAAGACCTTAAAAGAGAAGTCACATTCCAACAATAAGTGTGAGAGAGTTTCAAAGCATCCAAGGAAAAATTTGCATAAAAAGTTCTCAATATGAATGCTTCTTTGAGAAAGTACATCAACAGTTTTCAAACCTCCCCTTAGTGACATCCATGTGCAGATAGAAGATCTCAAAGAGTATTTTTTGTGCCATACAAGAGGGTGCTAGTCAAAAGTGGCGTCATTTGTAAAAAAAATTCCAAGTAGAGATCTTTGAATGTGACTTTCTCTAAGTTATAATTTATCCCAATATATATGATTATTGTTGTTAGGGGAAATATAAATTCGATGGATAAAATTTCTGAAATTGGGGCTGATATGATCTGGGATAGCCCAAGTGTTATGATGCTTCCTATCACCCAGTTTAGCATTAAAGTTGCAAACAAATTCAATAGGAAAATCCAAAAATCTGGAAGAGATAGAGTTACCCAAACACCAATGATCCCAAAGGATAGAAATAGGGCTATTTTGGTTAAGGAGAAAATTGAATTTGTTCATAACTAAAGAAGCAGTCTACAAATACTTTTCCAAAAAGAAGTATCATTGTACTGAAAAGGTTTCCAAGGAGAAATATATTAGGTTATAAGGCAATTGAAGAGAAGAGAAGGTAGATTATAACATCTGATAATTGTCACACAGTTAAAGCAAATCTTAATGCTTGAAGAGAAGCAATCCTAAGGCCACCATTAGAATAAGGCTTGTAAGTATTAGCATAAGAAATAAGGTGTAAGCACTTGTGATTCGATCCCCCCAAAAAAATGTTGGAGCATAATTTTCTAATATCCTTACAAATAGTTTTAGAAATAATGATGCCTCTAATCCAATATGCCAATGTATTAGTAATAGTAAATTTGATGTATTGTAATATGCCTGCAAAAGAGAGTACTTCTCCTTCAAACTAGAAAGGAGGTTAGTAACTTTATCAATTAAAGGAGAAAAATGAGAGTGCTTGATCCTATCCAGAGATATAGGAATCCCTAAGTAAGAAATTTTAGTTAAAGTATTTAGAATTTAAAGGGAATGAGAAATGGTAGGGGATGAGGTAACAAGAGGAGAAAGGAGAAGATAACTTTTTTCAAGTTAAGATGCAATCCAGAGAAGTTGGAAAAAGAGTTAATAATTCTCATGAGGCAATTGCAGTTAGGAACATTAGCCTTCCTGAAAACTAACAAGTCATTATCATAGATTAAATGAGATAAGTGAAAACTCTTAAAATTAAACCCTTGGAACCTTTGAGCATCATTAGGTTCATCAATGAGGCAAGAAAGAGTATCTATAATGATACATAAGAGATAAAGGCTAAGCGGCATCCTTGCCTAAGGCCAAAGGAGGAAGAGAAGAACCCCTCAAGAGCTCCATCACTACATATAGAGAAGTGGATATCATTTATGCAAGCTTTAATTCAATTGATGAAAATGGGCGAAACGCCCTCTTAGGCCATTCTAGTATAAAGATACTCCCTGTAAACCATATCAAAAGCATTCATGATATTAAATTTTACACAAAATAATTTATTTTTTATGTTCTTTTTGAACAAACTGAGAATTTTTGCCTCCGTAATTGGATTATTAGTAGAAAGCTTATTGGGGATGAAAGTAGATTGGCTTTAATGAATGACCTCAAGCAAAATCACTTTCATGCGAGTAGCAAAAATCTTTGTGATGATTTAAGATCAATGGGTCTAAAATCTTGGATATTCTTAGCATGATTTCTTTTTCTGGTATAAGAGCTATGGCTGTAGTTTTGATGCCTTTGTGGATGTGGCATTTTGAAAATAATTATTTAACAGCTTTACACATCAAAGGGCTAGTAATTCTCCTTTTTTTTGTAAAAATCATATTTGAAACCATCAGATCCAGGGGCAGAAGTGGAGAAATCGGAGAGAATAGTCGAATGGATTTTCTCATTAGTGTCCGGCATGATAAGAGAATAGATAGTAGCATTAGGAATAACATTGCCCGTGGGAATGAGATTGATATCAGTACACTCTGGAGCAGGTGAATTATATAAATCATTGAAGTGATTTATAATGTTTTGAATGTTGTCAGCTGAATATGGTCAGATCTAAGAATAGAGGTAGGAAGCGTGCATATGTTGAAAGAGTTTCTCTTATAGAGCTTAGAATAGAGAAATTTCAAGTCATCCACTTAACTTTAGCCTTTTGAATAGTCTAGGATGCTCATAAAGAATTGTAGAAGGCAGGATCACCATTAATCTTCTTTAGCATATTACAAAGCACATTATTAAGGGGGTCACAATCAATTTATAGTTGATATTGATGTTGAATATTGGATAAATTAGTGCAATTAGCCGCAATCATATTAGAGGATATCCAATTCTTAGTTCTGATTTTCTCTTTCAATAACTTTAGCTTATTGTATAAGCAGATAATGGGGTTCCCTTGAGAAGGTAAAGCATAAATATTCATAAGGGGGTTTAGTAAATTTGTAATTTTTCTCTAGTAGTTTTTGCATATCATTCTATGATTGATTCTCCTTTTAATGGTCAATCTAAGAACAAGAGGGGAGTGATCATAAATAAAGTTGTTTAACGTCGTGTAGTGAGAATTAGGGAAACTATTGATCCAAGTATCATTGACAAGCACATGGTCTAACTTTAGATGAATCAGATTCTCTGCTCTTTGATTAAATCAAGTATTAAAGTTACCAAAAGATGGGAGGTCCAAGAGATTAGCATCAAAGATGAGGGAGTTAAACGGGGCCAGTTTAGATGCTGCAATCTCATTCCTGTCATATTTTTAGATTGAAAGCAATAGCAGTTAAAGTCCCACATCACCACCACAGGCAGTGATCCATCATGGTTCAATTTTCTCAGATAATCCCAAAGCAAAAAATGTTCCTAAAAAGAGTTTGAAGCATAGACATTAGGAAGTAAAAAGGCATGCTGTATGCCAAACTTAAGAATCCCGATGATCATTTGGTTAAAAGAGAAAGTGGAGGAAAAGAAAATTGTTCTAGAGTTCCACTTGATCCAAATGCGGCTAGGAGAAGCTTGTTCAAAGTTATTGAAGCTAAGCTCTCGATCAAAAAATTTGTGGGCTAAACAAAATCAAGGGTCGTTGAGGTTTGAGTTATGGATGCGATTTTCTAGAAGATATATCATATCCAGGCCCTGCTCACGGGTCAAATTCTTGCAGCAAAATACCTTAGTAGGGTTATTAAAACCTCTAAATTCCAAGCAGCTAATGTTGGAAAAGTCATGAATTGTTATGTATTGATTTAGGGCCTTTCACGGAGCCCTTGCCTCTAGTATTTTTGTGGGATTGAGAAGGAGAGGAAGCAACGACTTTAGGAGGAGGAGAGTTAAGCTCAGAGGCAATGGTTGTTGAAGGATTGGTTTGAGGGTTGTGGGAGGTGAGTTGATAAAAAGTTGTGGCTTCATGTTATCCGGACTCCGCACATAATAATTTTTCCTTTTATTGGGTCATATGCATTATTGATTTGCTTAATTCATAACCTACCACTTATTCACACTTCTCAAATTTCCACGCCTTATTTCGACAACTGTTTTGGATTCATTTCTCCTCTAAAAAGAAATGGAAAACTCGAAGAAGATTTCAGCATGAGATCGAAGAAACGCTTTCTAGATATGGAAACAAAATGTGTGATTCGCTCTGACTGCGACATCGCTGTTACCAATTATAAAGTTGAATTTTCCAGCGACTGAACGAATACAGTCTACAATTTTACCTTTGCAAGCTAATTAATTCAATTTCTATGAGAATAGTGAAATTAAACGATGCTTAACGTCATATTTCCAAGCAACACAGTACATAATAAATCCCCATCCATGGCGTACATTTCTTCTATAAAAAGCCCTCATCTTGCTCCTTCCATTCTCCATCCCCTGACATTCACGAACCTGCCTTGCTCATTCATTCTTCCTAAAACCAGACAGGAGAAGAAGACAGGTTTTAAAAGAAAATTATGGATATATTTTACAGTCCAATGCACACTTTTCTTCTCATCTTCTCCATACTCTTCTATCTACTGATGAGGAAGCAGAGCAATAACAACAGGAGTCTGCAAGGGAAGCTTCCCCTGCCACCAGGCTCCATGGGCTGGCCCTACATCGGCGAGACCTTCCAGCTCTTTTCTCAGGACCCCAACATCTTCTTCCCCTCCAGGCAGGAAAGGTCGATCCGCAACAGAAATGAACCTAATAAATGATTAAGTAATTAAAGTTTTAAAATTTGGCTTTGGAATTAAATCAGGTATGGTGAGATCTTCAAGACGCATTTGCTGGGTTGCCCGTGCGTTATGCTGGCGAGTGCAGAGGCGGCGAGGTTTGTGCTTGTGAGCAAAGCTCAGCTTTTTAAGCCGAAGTACCCGCGCAGCAAGGAGAGGTTGATTGGGCCATGGGCGCTCTTTTTTCACCAGGGAGGCTACCACGCGATTGTCAGGAAGCTCGTGCAGAGTTCCCTCTCGCCGGAATCCATCCGTCGCCTCGTGCCGGATATCGATGCCGTCGCCTCCGCCACGCTCCGCTCCTGGGATGGTCATATGCTCAGTACCTTCCATGCTATGAAGGAGGTTTGTTAATTGTTTCTATAAGAGCTCCACTTAAATTTACAGTGAAATGGAGCTCTTAATCTTATACATTGAAGTGCAAATACTTAAATTCTACAATGAATTTCCTTAAGAAATTTATGATAAAGTATTTATAAGAAGAATTTTTGTAGAATTCAGAGTAAAAGAAAACCATTTGGCCTGCATGAAAATATATGCAAAAATCTCCATTCATAATGTTTATCTTAAGCAAATCGAATTTTTTTAATTAGAGAATGTAAATCACTCTGTATTGATTTCTGGACTACTTCTGCAGATGTCATTTGATGTTGGCATCCTCATAATCTTCGGCGAGCATTTGAGCAAGCAGAGGAAGAATGAGATAAAAAGAAACTACTTCATTGTTGACAAGGGTTATAATTCTTTCGCCACTAGCATTCCCGGGACTGCTTACAGCAACGCCATTAAGGTACAGACGTTGTGACTTCGTAGCTAGTTTTCATATCCAGTACTGTCAGTTAACTTGTTCTGTATTGGAATTTTCTTCCATGCATTTAGGCGAGGAAAAGACTTGGAGAGATACTGAGCGAGATAATGGAGGAGAGAAGAGAGCATAAGACAATGGAGAAAGATCTACTGTCGTGCTTTTTGGAGTGGAAGAACGACAAGGGTGAGCGGCTAAGCGACAATCAGATCTCTGATAACATTTTTGGTGTTCTATATGCAGCACAGGACACTACTGCAAGTGTTATTACGTGGATGGTCAAGTACCTCCACGACGATCCAAAGCTTCTTGAGGCAGTAAAGGTAGAGAGATTAAGGATGTATTGGGGATAACTTTTCATCATTTTCTTCTTAAATAGTTGCTATATGTTACTTTTTTTTTGCTGATATTAAAAAAATTTTGTGATATTAAAAAAATTTTGTGATGAAAATATATTTTTGAGAATTATACTGGTTTGGGACAGGTTTCTCACTGTTTTTTTAAAATAAATTTTTAGTATAAAATTTTTTAAATTAAACTTCAAATATATCAGAATATAATGATGGTAAGAAAATTGAAGTTTTATTTTATCAGAAAAATAAAAGTTCAGTGTAATTTTATTAGGAGTTATTTTTCTCATAATAACTTTATAATCATTTTTATCAAAAGCTGAAACCGCCTCAAATGAACAATAAGAGAATTGCTCCGTTCTACGGGCATGTATGTGCAAGTTTGTGCTACATGATTAGCCTTTATTTATTAACATGAGATGCATTGTATTTAAGGGTGTGCATAATTCATTTAGCTTGTTTTCAAATAACTATGTACTTAAAAAAATAAATCATAAACCAAAATGGAACTATTATTAGGATAAATAAAATAAAATAAAATAAAATAAGGATCCGTTTGGGATAACTTTTTCGCTATTTTTCTTTTTAAACAATATCAATAATTTGGTTGTGCTATTGCTTTCTTGTTGCTTTATCATTGCTTTTCAAAAAATTATATGATGAAAAGTTATTTTTTACTACTTAAATAATTAAGTTGGTTTATATTTCCACACCACAACACAATAATTATTTATATAAAAGAAAAATATTATAAGATATTCTAATAATTTAAATATAAAAAGAAAAATATTTGATCAGAAATAATATATTTTAACAGAAAAAATTATGTGGAGACAATCTTCATATAAGTTTTATCGAAGTTAGGAAATATTTAAATTTCTGTTCATAAAATTAATATATATATATATATTCTTTGCTTAATTTATTTTCTAATATTTAAATTTTTTATTCTGATTATCCATTTTCTACACAAAAATCTATTATAATTGTTAATGATAGTTTTTTTCTTTTTAATTGCAGGCCGAACAGATGAGTATTTATAAGCGGAATGGATGTGGAAGCCAGCAATTGCAATGGGCCCATACGAGGAAGATGCCTTTCACTCAAAGAGTACGTGTGAAAATTAATATTCCTTGGAACAAATAGCTGCTCATATTTCGTCTCCTTCTTGCGTGCTCATCAGTGGGTCAAAGGAAAGTGATGTGTACTTCCTTCTTTTCTAGGTCATATCCGAGAGCTTGAGAATGGCGAGCATCATCTCCTTCACTTACAGGGAAGCTGTGGCTGATGTGGAGTATAAAGGTAATAATAATAATTATTATTATTATGAGGTGCTAATTTGCAAAGTCTAGGGCAATGACAAAATATTAAAAAAACTATGGGTTTATTTGAGATATTTTATTTCATTGCTTTATTTTTCATATCATAATTAAAGTTTCATTTGAATACTACTTTCTTATTTTTTTGAATAACTTCTGTGTTGAGATGCTGTTTTTTACGATCAGAGTTGCTATTATGTCATAATTTTGAGAAAATAACAGTTTGATTTTAAAAAATAGAATGTATTTAAACATTTTTAACTTAAAATGTTGATTATGTTATCTTATTTAGTTTGTTATATGTTTCTAGAATCTTCTAGATTTGTCTAGATTTCTCAATTTAATTAGTATACCTTTTTGAAGTTAGGTGCTTGTGTTTATTCCATGGATTGAGAATTCCTTCATGCAGATCCGATTATTCCACCGATTCACTGCATCATTTATAATATTCATAATAGCTTTAAACAAAAATTTTTTTTTTTGAACGACAGCTTCACAGCCACCTTTACAAAACATTACAGTTAGGGTCTAATCATGTCAAGTATCAGCCTAATCTTACTAAACTAGTTGTTTAATTCTTACTGAGCTCATACCTTAATGCTCCAAACTACAGTCATTCCAATCAGACCTTAAGACTTCAAAGTTTGAGTCAAATGTTTATTTTGATTAATTTTTTTTAATTTGTTTGAAATATTCATTTTAAATATTATATATGACACTGTAGTTCAAAGCTACTAATAATGTATTAATTAATTAGATTATAATATTGTCATCTTAGCCCTCTCGAATATCATGGCATGCAGGATATCTAATTCCCAAGGGATGGAAAGTGATGCCTCTGTTCAGGAATATTCATCACAGCTCTGAGTATTTTCCAGATCCACACAAGTTCGATCCTTCAAGATTTAAGGTAAGGTGTAGTCATCTTTCCATTCATTTATGTCTAGCTGCTATTCATTTCAAGAGGTCCGGCCAAGTTGATCATGTACCAATCTATGTATATTAAGCTTTCGATGCTATTAATGGCGAAACAGTAATAGTTAGTTCTTATTACAGGCGTCTCCCAAGCCAAATACCTTCTTGCCTTTCGGAAATGGCGTCCATTCATGCCCAGGGAACGAGCTCGCCAAAATCGAGATGTTGGTCTTCATCCACCACTTGGTCACCAAATATAGGTGCGTTTTTTATGCAACTCTACAAGCCAGCTTTTCGTGAAGCCTTTTTTTACTTAAATTTTTGCAAAAGCGCCTGAAGTGTAGTTCTATTGATGCAGGTTTGAGGTGGTGGGATCTCACAGTGAGGTGGAATACAGTCCATTCCCCATTCCTAAGCACGGCCTCCAGGTGCGCATTTGGAGCACCGAGCAGGCCGATGGCATTGCCGAATAGTGACTTCAAGGTGTTTGACGAAATGCCGACGAGCAGCCGTGCAGCAAAATCTTGCACGCACGCACGTTCGCACGCCTAATTTTTGTTATTTTTTTCTTAGTCTTATGTGTAAGAATTCCTTCGCTTCAATGCTTGTAAAATTGGAGGAGAAGGTGGCAATAGAGTGTCCACTTTTCTTTCTTGTAGCCCTCTTGAATATAATGGAAGAATTATTTGGATCTAACTAATGCAATATGATTCTGTACCGCCTCTCTGATTAGAAGTATTTTATACATGATATTGTTATCTTAAAGAGTGCTAGTTATCATGTTTGTCACTGATTGGGGCTCCTTCGGAGCTCTCCGCATTTCTTTCTTTCCTGAAAATCTCTTGGAGGTTAGGATTAATTTGACGACTCGATGCCTCTATCATAATTAAGAAAGAAAAAAATTATGACATAATTAAGAATATTTTGATGTAAAATATATTAGAAAAAAATGAACATATTTGAATTTAGGATGAGATTAGTATTGTATATAATATTATAAATTATGCTAATCTCAATGTTAAACTAAATTCTGAAATATTTTGCATCAAGGCATGACAATTATTATTTATTAAGAAAATGAGACTTATTCTGACGTCGGAGCTGAGGCGTTAATTGTATTAAACTTCAGGTTATATTAAGGCCATTTGGTAGTATAGGGATATAAAGGTTTAATGCTTTCTTATTCTGTATGTAGCCTAGTATGATGCTTCCTTTTTGGCTATAAATAAATAGCCAATGCTTGTAATAAGATGGATTTTTGGAAATGAATATGATTTGAGTTTAGTCTCATGTGTTTTCTATATCCTAAGAGTGATTCTTAGGTGGAGGATCTTTCCTCCAAGAAGTTCTTGGAGCGGTGTCCGGCGACCGTCACCAGATCATCAACGTGAATTCGTCGAGCCCCTACCTGGCCGGTGTCATATTCACTATTGATATGATCATCTTCATCCGGCCATTACTAAATTTCTTATAGCAATGAAATGGGCCTCGACCTCACTATTCCAAAATAATAATAATAATAATAAATTGGCATTGTCATTATCAATGGTTGTTGAATGGGAAGAAACAATTAGTGCTTTCCAATGAGATGAGCGAAACCACAAAACTGTCGATAGTTGGAACTGTGCTGTGTAACTGCGTGGCTTTGGCGTTTTGGGCTGTTGCTTTCTATTGAGTTTTTGGCTATGGCCGGCGCCTCATTGGAAGACCGCCGTCCTGCTTCCGCCTGCCCGACTACTGTAATCTATCCAGCAAAGTACGAATCATTGAGCGCTTTGTCAAAATTTAATCTAAGATTTATTTTATTAATCACAATCTAACAACCTACTTAATTAGCTGTCTTTGCACGAATATTTATGTTGTAATTCTTTAAAGTATTTGACAGACTTTAGATTAAAAATATTTATAACCGACTTTTCTGATAAAAAATATTCTAATGAATTTAAAAATTATTACATTTATTTTGATATTAGTATTGTACCAATCTTATCAAAATTCGCACAACATTCCAAAAAAGGAAGCACTCTGTGTTTCAAAAGAATTTTTATTGCCTCAGGTTATCAGACGTAGAGATACATCAGATAGCCTATAATATATCACCACGTGCTCTTACTCTTTACCGCGCGGCCCGACGACCCAACCCGGAACAAATCCGGGATTACTATTTTCGCGTATTGCTAGGTATTACTCGGTATTTGCTCGGTATTGAACCAGATCGCGGAGAAGCTGCGTCGTCTGAAGAAGAAGCACCGCAACGTCGTGGCCAAGATGGGATCCGGCCGGGGATTCGTCTTTAAGAGCCCTCACAGCTACCTTCGAGATCTCACGTAACATCTGGAGCTCCACGTTTTACCGCAAACCGAAGAATCGAACAAACCAGGAAGATCGGAGCAGCGACGTCGCTGGATCAAAGGAAGCGCTTGTTCTGGTGAACGCCGCTCGGCGGCGATCCTGAAAACGGTCGGCGTTCTCACACCCCGATGTAGCAAATACCGGCGTTGATGTCTCGACGCCATCGGCTTCTCACGCTGCCCGGCGAGACTCTCATATGAAGCTCCGTCCCGAACTCAAGCGACGAAATGCCGAAAATACCGAGCAAATACCGAGTAGTACCTAGCAATACCGAGCAAATACCGAGTAGTACCTAGCAATACCGAGCAAATACCGAGTAATACCTAGCAATACCGAGCAAATACCGAGTATATTCGTTCCGGGTTGGGTCGTCGGGCCGCGCGGTAAATAGTAAGAGCACTTGACGATATATTATAGGCTACCTGATGTATCTCTATAAGAAATTTATCGCAATAGAAAATTTGATGGCGGTTCAGTATCCGTCACATTTTGAAAAATTCTTTTTTAATGTTTTTAACAGCTAAAAAAAGATGGAATTTAAATTTGTTGTCAACAATTAAGTCCTAATCGCAAACTATGTTATAAAATTAGTGAGGATAGCACCGTTGTCGTGGGGAGAGAGAGAGAGAGAGAGAGTGCAACATTGTGGCAAATTGCTCGGCAAAGTCAGTGGCCCGCTGACTACTGCATTTCGGAAGAACAGCCACATCCACTGTGTGATTTGGTTGCTTCGTGTACACAATACTGAAGGGACTACGTCCAGTGGATCGATTGGTCATGCTATTATATGCAAATTCCGCTTGGCCCAGAAGTTCATCCCAACTTTTGGGATGGTCTTGTACCACACAACGTAGCATGTTTCCCAGTGTTCGATTGACGACCTCGGTCTGTCCATCCGTTTGAGGATGGTACGCAGAGCTGAGCTTGATCTCTGTGTGCAGTCGCTTCCATAACTCCTTCCAAAAATGACTGATGAACTTGACATCACGATCGGACGTCAAACTCCGAGGTACCCCATGAAGTCGGATGATCTCAGCAAAAAAAATGCGAGCTACATTCAGTGCGTCGAACGTCTTCTTACATGGCATGAAATGAGCCATCTTATAGAAACGATCGACGACTACCATAATCGAGTCGTATCCTCACTTGGTACGAGGTAATCCCATAACGAAATACATGCTTAGATCTTCCCAAATAGTCTCAGGTGTAGGCAATGGCAGGTATAATCCTTGCAGCTTTCCTCGGGATTTGAAGTTCTGGCAAACAGAACACCTCTCTACAAATCTCATAACGTCTCGATGCATGTGGGGCCAAAAAAATCTGGTTTGTAATTGTAGGTAGGTATTATTTCGCCCTACATGAGCCGCTAATCCGCCCGAATGAATTTCCTTGATAATTTGCGGTCTCCAGGAGGAGTCTGGGATGCAAAGTTGGTTGAATCGGAATAAGAAACCATGCCTCAGAGAGAATTCTCTAGGCTGCTCTCCGTTAACACAGTCAGTCCAGACTTTGGAGAAGTCTTGGTCCGTAGCATACAAATCCTTCAGGCATTCCAGACCTGTGATCTCAGTTTGCAATTGAATGAGAAGCGCGCTACGTCGACTGAGCACATCTGCCACCTTGTTCTGAGCACCCGATTTGTGCTTCAAGACAAAATTGAATCGTTGTAGGAAGAGGACCCAACGAGCATGCATACGGTTGATATGCTTCTGACTGTTAATAAACTGCAAAGCCCGGTGATCACTGCACAAGACAAATTCCTGGTGTAACAAGTATGGCTCCCACTGCTTAAGGGCTTGCACGATGGCATAGAATTCCTGCTCGTATACACTCCATTTTTGTCGAGCAAGACAGAATTTCTCGCTAAAGAACTCAACCGGGCGATTGTCTTGGCTCAAAACAGCACCTATGCCAACTCCCGAGGCGTCTGTGTCTATGTGGAACGGCTTGTCAAAATTTGGTAAAGCTAAAACAGGAGCAGCCGTTAATGCTAACTTAATGGCGTCGAAGCTATGCTGTTGATCGTCTCCCCAGTAGAACTGCTTCAGCTTGAGGCAGTCGGTGATAGGAGCCATAATTATGCTAAAATCTTTTATGAATCGATGATAGAAATTCGCAAGCCCATGGAAACTGCGAATATCTGTGAAGGATTTGGGAGTGGGCCACTGTGTGATGGCGTCTACCTTGCGGCTGTCCATATGAGCTCCTGCAGATGATACAACAAAACCCAAGAAATAAACAGCAGCAGTAGCAAATTGACACTTACTTGGGTTCAGATAGAGTTTGTTATCCCAGAGTACAGTGAGAATTTTGGCCAAATGCTCCAAGTGTTCGTTCTCGGAAGTGCTGAATACAAGTATGTCGTCAAAGTAGACAACACAACACACGTCGATGAAGGGTTTGAGAACTTCTGACATCAGCCGCATAAAAGTAGAGGGCGCATTGCATAGCCCAAAGGGCATAACTCTCCATTCATACAAGCCTTTTCTGGTCTTGAAAGCCGTCTTCCACTCGTCGCTCGGACGGATCCGTATTTGATGGTACCCACTTCGTAAATCAAGCTTTGAGAACACATTGGCTCCAGCGAGTTTCTCTAACAACTCCTCCACACGGGGCACAAGAAATCTATACTTCACCGTTATTTTGTTAATAGCGCGACTATCCATACACAGTCGCCACGAGCCATCTTTCTTGGAAACTAATAGTGCTAGGACCGCGCAGGGGCTTAGGCTCGGTTGAATCAGATTGAGCTTTAACAGCTCATCCACCAGCTATTGTAACACCTGGTATTCGGTGGGGCTTAATCGGTGATGTGGGAGGTTCGACAGCGATGAGCCTAGAATCAAATCGATCTGATGTTGTAATGTTCTTAAAGGAGGAAGAGAAGCCACTGCATGTCATTTAGAACATCCTGAAATTCCTTCAACAAATTTTGCAAGGCAGTTGATCTAGATTATGCGGCATGCTCGGGTGCTGATTCACGGACTACCAATGCAAATAGCAAAGACCGTTCCTGATAGGCAGAGAGTAGATTGTTGCCTGTAACAAAATGCAGGGCCGGTGACCCCGTTCCTTTCTTATTCCCCTGTTCCGTCGAGTGAGGTAGCAATCGTAACCGTCTGCCTTTCCAATCGAGGGAATAGGTGTTAGCACGTCCATCATGAATTGCCCCGACATTGAATTGCCAAGGACGGCCTAATATTAGGTGACATACATCCATGTCAACAACATCGCACAGCACTTCACATGAGTAATGTTTCCCAATGGAAAACTGAATCCGACACATGTCATTTACCATAATCTCCACACCTCTTTTGACCCATGTGATTTTATAAGGCTGCGGATTCTTCGTGGTTTTAAGCTGCAGGGCTTGAACAACAGCTCGAGA